TCACTATGGGTCAGAATGAACTCAATGGCATTTAACAATAATATCTGAATTGAGTTCTGGATGGTGTTGTCATATATGGTAATATCAGGTTGTGTTCTGCTTTTGTTGTTTCTCTGTCCAAAGAATACTGTTTAGCATTTTTGTAAAGTTGCTCTGATCATTACAAATTTCTTTAATTTCGATGTATCAGGAAATGTCCTAATTTCGCCATTGCATTTGAGGGATAGATTTGCTGGGTATGATTCTTGGTTGGCAATTTTTCCTTTCATAGTTATGTATGTACCATCCCATTGCCTTCTTGTCTGCATGATTTCTGCTGAAAAAAATGGAGCTTATTATTATCAGTTCTCCTTTATAGGTAACTTTTGCATTTTTTCCCCTGAACTTCTCTCAGGATTCTTTCCTTGTCTTTGGTTTTGGAGAACTTGATTCAGCTATGTCTTGGTGATTTTCTTTTGGGTTCTATTCAGCGTCTTTAATAATGTTAGGGAAGTTTTCTTCCAAAAATGCTTTGAAAAATTTCTCTGTGTTTTTAATTGTCTTGTTCTGACCACCCATAAGTTGTTCCTTTTCATAGTGTCCCACATAACTTACGTTGTTTTTTGGATTTTTTCATTTTTTTTCCTGATTGTTCTTCTAGCATTCTAGTATTGAGAGATTTATCTTCAGGGTCACTAATTCAGGCTCCCATTGCTTCAAATCTACTTCTTTGCCCTCTCAATGTATTGCCTATTTCTCAAATCTTAATATTAATCTTCTGGATTTCTAATTACAGGTTTTGTGCTGTTTCAAAATTTGCATTTATTTTTTCTGTTTGTTCTTGTAGTGTTTTCCTGAATTCTTCTATAGTGTTTTCTGTGTTCTCCTTGCTTTCCTCGATCTTTCTATCAATCCTTTGAAGGTGCTTAAGCATTGTTTTGAAAATTCTTTTTCAATTAGTTTCATTATCTTTTCTTCCTCAGAATCACTTTCTGGCTCTGTATCTTGAACATTTGCTTAAGCCATTCTCCCTTGTTTCTTTGTGTGAACTAAAATTGTCTGTTGTCTCCAGGGCATTGTGGTTTTGTTTGTATTTGTATTTAATTGATGAATGTATTTTGCTGTGCTCTTAAGCTCTCACCAGCTGTCTCCTGTGGGTATAGTTAGAGAACAGCAGAAGCCTGTACACTTTTCTCGTTCACTGTTCATGCACCTCAGTTTAGGTTGTTGTTGTCTGATGTTGACTGCTGTCTATCATTGATCAGGTGGTATAGGAGCTGGTACTGGCTCTTGCACAATGTGTGGAGCTGTGGAGGGTACAATGTGGTTGGGTTGTATCAGAATGGTTGCTGTCTCCTATTGAATGGGAAAGAGAAAATCCACACACAAGAAAACAAAAGGGAATAAAGAAATATAACTAACAATGAAAAGAGAACATAAAGGCAAAAAAGGAAAGAAAGAAAGAAAGAAAGGCAGCAACCAGGGAAAAAATTATAAAAACAAAAGAGGGGCAGGGAAATGGAACTACAGAAGAGAAAAATAAGAAAGAAAATAAAAGGAGGAAATTTAAAAAGCACTTAAGAATAATTTAAAAAGTGAAAAGAGGAGCAAGGAAATGGAGCAATAGAAAAGTAAGAGGAAGTAATAATAATTTAAAAAACAGAAAAACCAGGGGGTGGGAAGATAAGAAGAGAAAGAGAGTAATAAAGAGAGTTCACAAGGGAAAAAAAAGAAAGGGTATGAGAAACAGAAGAAAAGAAGGAAAAACAACAATTAGGATAGGATAAAATTCAAGGGAATGGATAGAGAAGAAGAAGGAAGAGAAAGAATAAACAAAAACAATGAAACAAGAAAAGCAGAAAAACAAACCCCAAAACAAACACAAAAAACAGTACAACTGATGGACTTGGAAAGGAGAAAACCCTGTGGGATTCCTGTAAGCCAAGGATCTTATAAAGTGAGCGTGGGAGGGATGTGACAGCAAAGTTTCTGGTCCTAGATATAGTCCCTATCAGCCTCAATTTTATCTATGTTCAGGGCTCCCAATGTGGAAGTAGTTCATGGAGGCCCTTGATGGACCTAGTTTCAGTGTCAGGACCATAGGACAGCTGGGTCAGGGTGACTGGTTAAATGCTGGTCTGATTGCTCTGGGGTTCTGTAGGTCTGGAGAGGAGCAGCCTGAATCCAGGCACTAAAGCAGGACACTAAAGTGATGCAGCTGACTCCCCATTTTACACTGGTAAGGCTTCCAACAATGTGGCTTCAAACTCCTGAAGAGCAGGTAGGGGTAGATGAGGGTCAAGATGGCCACACTTTCAGGGTGGCATGGGGAAAAGGAAGGAATCACACCTTTCCATTTTGTATGTGAATCTGTTCTGCCAGGCCATTGTCTGTTGCCAAAGTCAGCCGTTCACCAGCCAGTCTCTCTCTCTTTCCCTTCATGCTCAGATTCTCCTTTCAGCAAGCATACAGTCCACTTCTCTAACCTTTCCTCCAAAGCTCAGGGTTCCAGGATTGTCATCTGTGTCTGTTTCAGTTGATCTTTGTATTTTTGTGTCAGAGGGTCAGTTTGCCAGAAGTTCCCCTTGTTACTTCCTTAATAAATCACTTAAGTATAAGTATATATGTTTTGTGAGTTTTATGTGACCACTGTAACAGATTATAGAACCCAGCAGAGACGATAGAGAGTGCCCTGATGAAAAAGGTCTTGGAGAGTGGGCTGAAAAAAGTTTGTGGAAAAATTCATTATCTTTTCATTCCATTTTTCCCCACCAACTTTTTGAAGCCCCATTGTATGTCTGGCTACCCCTCATAGGAACTGGGCTTGGGCTGTTTTTGATTCTCACTATCCCCACTGAAGTTAGATGCCTAATTAAAAACATCTCAGTAAAATCCACCACTGAAAATATTGGCATATCAATAAAGTGAAAAAGGAGATTTTTAAATCAATTATATGCCTTTTAAAAAGGATAATTGAAATAATGGTTTAAGTTATCATGAAAGCATGACTTTTTTTCTATCTTCAACAAGTGATGTATGACTGAAAATAAAAATCCCAAGATTCCAACAGTTGGGTACATTTTATGATGCATTCAACTTTTACTTGAGTTTACTTTTATAAAAATATGCTCTTTTTGGTTAAAATGATATTTGCTTTATTTTATGTAACAAAAATAAACAAATGCCAGTAGTTTTTCCTGGAAAGAACCCAGAACTTGGAGGCATGAACATTGGTTCTCTATCATTTCAGGTGGAAGAACTCACACCAGTCTCGAGAGATGAGCTTTTACCATACCTGAAAGCCCCAGTGTCTACCAGCTACTACCTGGCCAATTTATGGCCACACAGTCTCAGTGGCCCCTTTCTCCATATGATCCTTGTTCTTTGTCAATAATGCCATAATAAAATTATAAAAAATAAATAAAAATCTGTGGAGGCAAATAATTAGAAAATTATGGTATCCCCTGAACTCTTCTTAAAACCAAGTAGGAAAGAAATGGGGTGAGGAACATTTCCAACTCCTTCGGTGTGTATTTTAAAGAGAGAAAGACTAGATCAGAGGCCTAATATGAGTGTCCAGGCTCTTGCTATTAAAAATATGACCCTAGACTAGCATCACCCTGAGAGCTTGTTGTGGCTGTGGCTGTGGCTATGTGCTGTGGAGTCAGTTCCGACTCATAGCGACCCTGTACAGGGTTTCTGAGGCTATGGGAGCAGAATGCTTCGTCTTTCTCCCACAGAACAGCTGGTAGTTTCGAACTGCTGACCTTGCGGTTCACATTCCAATTCGTAACCACTACGTGAGCTTGGTTAGGAATGCTGAATCTCAGGCCATATCTTAGTCCACTGAGTCAGAATCTGCCAGTAATTCTTGTGTTCACGGAATACTCAGGACAGGTTCTAGTTCATTATAAGCTAGACAGCTCCCAAACTAGTTCTGAGAGATGGGAATTGATACCAACACTAATCTGTTGTCAGCAAGTAGATTCTGACTCATAGTGAAACTATAGTAATCCTATAGGACAAAGTAGAACTTCCCTATAGGGCTTCCAGGGATGAAATCTTTACAGATTAGAGGCCTGATATGGCACTGTAGGACTGGACTGCTATCCACAAGGCCAGAGGTTCAAATCTACCAGCCACTCCTTAGAAACCCTATACAGGTCACTATGAGTTGGAGTTGACTCATTAGCACTTAACAACAACAACAATCTTTACAGAAGCAGACTGCCACATCTTTCTCTTGCAAAATAACTGGTGGGTTTGAACCACTGGCTTCAGTTAGCGGCCGAGCACTTAACCACTGTGTTACCAAAGCTCTTGATGGGTCTTGAACAAACCTTAAAACTCACTAGAGAGTTAGTCTCCTAATCTTCAAAGCTTCTGGCCAGGGCTTCAGGCACTGACAGTGTCTTCTGTTACCTGGCCTTTATCATCCTCCTCTGGTCTACTTTTTTACTTTTTAAATTTTGTTGTTATTGAGAATATACACAGCAGAACCTACATCAATTCAGCAGTTCCTACATGTGCCATTTAGGGACATTAATTACATTTTTTGATTTTGCAACCATTTTCCCTCTCCTTTTCTGATGAACATAAATTCACTGCTCCTTAGGTCCCTATCTAATCTTTAGAGTTGCTCATTTCATTTTGTTCCCATATATACAGTTCTTAAAAGAACATAATGCTCAAGGCAGACCTTCTTACTAGTTAGGCTAACCTACTGTTTGGCTTTAAGAAGACTTCAGGGGTTATCTTTGTTTTTTAAGCTTTAAGATTATTTCAGGGCAGTAGTTTCAAGACTTCATCAGACCTGACCTTCATAGCTCCTGAAAATCTGGAGTCCATGAGAATTTGAAACTCTGTTCTTCATTTGCCCCCTTTTGAACAGGATTCTTTCATAGCTCCTCTTCTGATTTTCAACTTCTTGTTTGTGTTTGAGCAAAGACGCACACAGCTAAGACAGTTTTATAATAATATTCTTTCCCCTTTTCTTCCTTGCCTTTATTCCCTCTCCCCAGGCCTACATCTTGCTTGGGCAGTTCCTTCTGATGCACAAGAACGAGGCAGAGTTTCAGAGGTGGATCATTTGTTGTTGCGGTGCCACTGAGTGTGAAGCCCTGGAGACTTCTAACTGTCTGAAGGAGTGGTGCGCCTGCTTCCTGTAGACACAGCCTTCACCATTGCTACTGGAATCAATGATGCATCCTTTACACTAGATCAGGCTTAGAGTTTTTATTAGTTGTTGTTTTTCATTAATTTGATTTTAATGACACATGCTTCTTGGCTGACAGGAACCTCCAGAGTTTTCTCTTCCCTGGGTCTGGCACCTGCTTTGGATGTTTCCTTTCCTTATTTTTGTTTGTTTATTCTTTCTTTCCTCTCTTCCACTCTTTAACTTTCCTTGCTATTTTTCTTTTCTATCTTCAGTTTTAGTTCCCTTCTTTTCTTCTATTTCTCCCCACTCCCCCAACCTGCACTTCTTCTTCTTTGTTTTCACTTTGATTATTACTCTTTACTATTCTCTGATCTCTTTCTCTTTTACTCATCGCTCCTCATACTTATGTTCAGTGTTTTTTCTTTCTGTTTATTTTATCTTCCATAGTTTATGTTTAATTTTAATTTTTTTGTGTGTGTTATTGTATTTTTCTAGTTGCCTTTTCTTCTTCTTTACTATTTTCTTTCTTGCTGTTATTTGCTTGTTTTATTGTTTTTTTCTTTTGTGTGGGTGTTTTCTTTTCTTGCTTCACTGGATGGGTACAGCAACCATGCCCATATAGCCCAGCCATCACTGTACCTTCTGCAGCCCAACCATGGGCAAGAGCCAATCCCAGCTGCTATGTACCTGATCAATGACAACAATCAATATCTACCAAACCCATCCTAAACTGAGTTGCACAAATGATGAACATGCTTCCATCCTCCAATTACACCCACCAAGAGGCAGCTGGGGAGTGCCAAAAAAGTAAACAAACAAAGCCAAAAACCAACGTACAATTGTCAATTAAATATAAATACAATGACACCACAATGTCTAAGGAAACAGACGATTTCTGTTCACATGAAGAAACAAGTAGAGTGGCTAAAACAAGTGACCAATAGACAAAGCTAGAAATGTTTTTTTGAGTAAAAAAGGCATTGGAACACCCTTAAAAAAATTCAACAGACTATTTGGGACTCTTCAAACCCACCAGCCACTTCTTGGAAACTCTATACAGGGTCACTGTGAGCCAAAACTGATATGCTGAGTATTTAACAACAGCAACAACAGCCAGACTACTTAGAATCCTGATCTGGTCAGGTGAACACAAAGACTTAATTATTACAAGAACAAAAATTGTGTGAGACTACAGCAGTTCAATCTCACCAGCTGCTCCTTGGAAACCCTATACAGGGTCACTATGGGTCAAAATCGACTTAACAGCACTTAACAACAACAACAGCTATTATAAAAGAAGTCCTGGTGTAGGATAAACACTTGACTGCAAGGTTGATTTAAGCCGCAAGGACAGCAGTTCAAACTCACTGGCCACTCCTTGGAAACCCTATACAGGGTTGCTATGAGTTGGAACTGACTTGACAGTGCTTAACACCACCACCAATAATAATAGAGAATTTAATAAACCACTTTCAGTGAAAGAAAGAACAACTAGTAAGAAAATCAATGAAGACTCAGAAGAACTAAACAACACAGTCAACCAACTTGACCTCATGGACATATACTGAGCACTCAATCCAATAACAGTACACTGCACATCCTTTTTCAGTACACATGGAACAATTCCCAGAATAGAAATATGTTAGATCACAAAGCAAGCCTCAATAAAATTTAAAAACATCAGTTTTGCAAAGCATCTTTTTATATCACAATGCTATAAAATAAGAAATGAACACTAGGAAAATCAAGGAGAAAACAATAAAACACATGGAAATTGAATAACACTCTGCTTAAAAGCTACTGGATAATAGAAAAAATTTAAAAATGAATTTTTTTTTTCTTAAATCAAGAGAAAATGAAAACACAACATACCAAACCATTTAGGACATAGCAAAAGTGCAATGCTTAAAGGGTAATTTATAACAATAAATGCACACATTCAAAAATAAGAATAAAAATAAACACATTAACACAACCTCTCCAGCAATTAGAAAAAGAGCAACAAAATAAGCCTATTGCTACCAGAAGGCAAGAAATAAAGATTAGCGCAGAAATGAATGAAACCCCCAAACAGGAAAGCAATAGAATCAATAAAACAAGAAATTGGTTCTTTGAATGAATTAATAAAATTGACAAACCATTAGCAAATCTAACAAAAAAAGAGAATAAGATGCAAATAATACAAATAAGAAATTATATGGGTGATGTCACAACATAACCAAAGGAAATAAAAAAGATAATACCAGAATACTATGAAAAATTCTTCTCTAACAAAGTTTAAAATCTAGAAGAAATGGATAAATTTTAGAAAAACATGACTTAACCTGCACTAACAGAATAAAATAGAAAACTTGAACAAACCCATAACAAAAGAATTTATTAAGACACTCCCAACAAAAAAATTCCAGGCCCAGATGGCTTTACCCACTAATTCTACCAAACATTCAGGGAAGAGCTGACACAAATATTTTGCTCAAACTCCCAGATGATAGAAAAGGATGGAAAATTATGGAATATATTTCACAAATAGAGTATAACATTAATACCAAAATGAGGCAAAGACCACTAAAAAACAAAACCATAGATCAATATCCCTCATGAACATAGATGCAAAAAATCTCAACAAAATCCTAGCCAATAGAATTCAACAACATAACAGACAATATATCACGACCAAGTGAAATTCATACCAGGGATGCAAGGATGGTTCAATGTTAGAAAAACAATCAGTGTAATCCACCACATAAATGCAACAAAGGAAAAGAACATGATCATACTGATTGATGCAGAAAAAGCATTTGACAAAATCCAACATCCATTCCTGATAAAAACACTCAACAAAATAGGAATAGAGGGAAATTTCTCAACATGATTTAGGGTGCATATACAAAACCAACAGCCAACATCACTCTCAATGGAGAGAAACAGAAGCAATTCCCCTTGTGAACAGGAACCAGATAAGGATGCACTGTATCACCACTCTTATTCAATACTGTGCTAGACGTCTTAGAAAAGGAAATTAAAAGCATCTTAATTGGCAAACAGAAGTAAAATTCTCCTTATATGCAGATGATATGCTTCTATATATAAAAAACCTCAAAGACTCAGCAAGAGAATTATTAGAATTTATTTTATTGAAAGGTTCAGCAACAAAGTAGGAGATCAGCATACAAAACTCAGCCAGATTCCTTTACACTAATAAAAAGGACTCTATAGAAGAAATCAGGAAAACAATACAACTTACAATAGTCACTGTAAAGAAGAGACCTATGTAAAGAAAACTGCAAAACATTACTACAAGAAACCAAAAGAGACAAAAATAGGAGACTATATCATGCTCATGGATAGGAAGATTTAACATTGTGAAAATATCAACACTACTCAAAACAATTTGCAGATGTAATGTAATCCCAGTCCAGATTCCAACATAATTCTTTAAAAAGAAGGAAAAACTGACCACTAACTTTATATGGAAAGGAAAACGACCACAGATAAGCAAAGCATTAATTACAAAGAAGAGCAAAGTTTGAGGCCTCTCACTTCCTGATCTCAAAATCTACTGCACAGGAGGCAGGGCTTGATGGTGGCTAGGGTGGAGGTACAGTGAAGTTTGCCATCAGCAATACCACAGGATACCAGGCAAAGCAGCTCCAGGGCAGAGCAACAAAACTCAGAATCACATAGATACGACTATATTAAAAGTTTGAAGGCTCATACCTAATGGAACTTGAAGCAAAAGTAAGAAATCACGTACTTTTGAATCTGCTGGGCTTGGTGGCCCAGAGAGGACAACTTGGGTGAGACCAAACAGCAAGACCAAGTGAGGGAGTAGACACACCATGGAAAAACGCTGCAGGAACCTCAGAGCAAAGGTGGACAATACACTTTGTTGGTTTTGCTTTGTTCTGATTTTTTTTTTTTTTTTTTTTTTTGGTATCTGTCCATTTCACCACCACCACCACCACTGTTTGTGCACCTCCATTCTGGTGACTAGAGGGGGTGCCTGAGCGAGTGGACCCAAACCGCACCACTGGTGGGTTCTTCTGCCATGCATGCGCACAGATACTCTCAGCCCAAGAGCTGGTCCTGAACTGTTTTTTGTTTGTTTGTTTTTTTAAATACGGGAAAGGCCAGGACAGGGATATAGAGATGGAAAGAGAGTTGAAAAACAAAGGAGGCTGAAAATTAAATCCTGAGGTACAGCTTAACAATCAACAGTGGCATCTTGAAATCTCTCAGGCAGCTTTGAAGGTAAGAAACTGAAGAGAGGACATTAAAGTCATATTCATATAAGCCTACAGATTTTTTTTTTTCTTTCTCTCCTTCCTCTCCCTTTTCTGTGATTATAGATTACAGTATTTAGTCTAGTTTTGTTGTTGTTGTTGTTTTTTGATGGTGCTGTTTTGAACTTTTATGCTCCCCCTTCTACCTTTGGAGGACTCTTTCCATATATTACCCAAGAAGAGTAAGCAACTACTGCCATATAGTCAAGCTACAATCACACTCTATAAAAAACCAAAACCCAGGCAAGAACCAATAACAACCACCACATACCAGGGAAGCAGACAACATCTGTGAAAGTTACTCTGAGTTAAGCAATAAGAAGAGTGAAAAGGGAAGCTCACATCCTGATCACATCTACTGGGAAGCAATCAGAAAGCATAAAAAAATACCAAAACACACACTCAATTATTAAGGCCACAGATAAACAGTAAACATGTCCAAGAAGCAAAAGGAGATGACCATATCAGTACATGTCCAGAAACGAGATAAAATGTCTGAGACAAATGACCTAGAGGTAGACCTGGACTCCATTATGGAAGGAGAGCAGGCCTTGGAAATGCCTCAGAAGGAATTCAGAAAAATGATTATAAAATGTTTCAAAACACTTCACAATGGAGTTGAAAAAATAAGAAGACAGGAAAGTGCTACAATAACAATCAAATAAGATAGAGCCAGCATTGGAAACAATTCAAAACTTACAGAAAGAGGTCCAAATGATCAATAAGAGAATA